AGCGTATAAAGATGCGGAATTAAAATCTTCGTCGAGTTGTCTTTGTTTGTTGCAGAAATTCGACCTAGAACCCGCGAAAATTTGCATAGAAGGGTGATTTTGTCATCCTTTCTCGTGAAATGTTTGTATTTTTTTGGGTTTGCTCGCGAAAATATTGTTTGCGTATCCTAGGCAAATATACTAAACTCATGCGCAATTAATTCTTCGCGGTGTACCTTTGAAATCCCTTCAATAATTTTAGTATAAACGCTAAAATACAAAAATAAAAATAAATTTTACGTATTTGCTACCGAAAATCCTCGAAAACTCATGACGCAGCACCCCTCTTTGGCCTTTATTTTTCATAAGAATTATTATTTAATTTTTTATGTTTCCAATTTAAATAGCTTATTTTATTGGGAGTTTTAGGTATATTAAAAATCTTCAATCCGTTTGACTTATTGCATTTTTGTATAAAATTGCTATTCATTTAGTTTCGGTGGCGCATGAACATTTTCCTAAGTGCGTGACCACTCACTGACTCATAAACAATTCCACACTGCTACACATGTGCTACTCTGCTTGACTCTGCAGAGATGGCACCAGCATGAACTAAAAATCGTAAAATAGAGTTGTATTGTTTATGTCTATATTTATCGACACACGTGGGCACGACACGAGATTTGTGTATATTTTGAACGGTTCCCGGACTTTTGCCCCCAAGACGATCGGTCACACGACAACTGCTCACAGACAACTGCCCACAGTCATAACTGCGCACACGGACAATTGCTCACAGGAGCTAGTTTCGTGCCGGTCTTTCTTTGGTTGAGACGTATTTCTCGCAATTCGTACTGTTTTTCGGACTTCTGCTTTCTAAATTTGCATTATAATCAACCATCAATCGACTATTTAATTTTGACTTGCGACTATAGTAGACTACTGATATTTACTATTTGCGTGTTTATTGTCTGGCCGGTTTTAATCGCGCTTAAAGGGTGAATCGCCACCATGTTGATTATTCCTCATTAGGATGACCCACCGTGTTGGTGAAAGTAACTTTAAACTAAAAAAAGAGCTCAGATTGTTTTTTTTTGCTGTGTGATTAAAGAATTACTAAATCGTGAAATTTTTGTTTTTAATTTTTATTTTTTATGTTAACTAATGTCGCAAGTGGCCATATAGTTTCAATATGCATTCGTGACAATACCTGTGGTATGTTATTAATTTTGACTTATATAAATCATAGGAAGCGATAGATAGATTATTATTTTTATTGCGCTAGAGTAGGACAAAATGTTATATCTATCGTTCTCTTCTCTGTTTTAGCAATGGCCTTCGAGTTCCGATAGCGATTAGAATGCGAATTTGCTTCCCTTCGTCCCGATTTAAAATAAAATAAATAATGACACCCCTTCCCGCCCTTCCCTTTAACAATGCAATTTATTTCGCAGATTTTTTTATCACCTTCAACATTAGTCTGACTGTTGCAACGCGTGAAATACTAGTATTTGGTATGTGTCATTATTTGTTTGTTTTGTACTTATCCACACGTGCTCGTAATATATACGTCATTTTAGTTAATGCACGCGAGCAGAGCGTCACACAAACTTGCGCGGGGTGTCTAGAAATGCGAAATTAAATTCTCTGTCGGGTTGTATTTATTTGTTGCAGGAATTCAATCTGCAACCCGCAAAAATCTTCATAAAAGGGTAATCTTTTCACCTTTTATCGTTAAATGTTTGTATTTTTTTGAGTTTGCACGCGGCATTGGTGGCCCGTGAATCCAGCGCGCCGTGTGGAGATGCGGAATTAAATTCTCCGTCGGGTGGTATAAGCTTGTTGCAGGAATTCGACCTGCAACCCGCGAAAACTTGCATATAAGTGTAATTTTTCAACCCTTTTTCGTGAAATGTTTGTGTTTTTTCGGGTTTGCACGCGATCTAGGCGGTGTAGTAACTTCAGCTGGGCATCTATAGATGCGGAATTAAATTCTCCGTCGGGTGATATTTAACTGTTGCAGGAATTCGTCATGCACCCCCAAACATTTGCATATAAGTGTCATTTTTCAACCCTTTTTCGTGAATTGTTTGGGTTTTTTTGGATTTGCACGCAATCTAGGCGGTGTAGTTACTTCAGCGGGGCGTCTAGAGATGCAGAATTAAATTCTCCGTCGCGTGATATTTAACTGTTGCAGGAATTCGACATGCAACCCGCAAAAATTTGCATATAAGTGTCATTTTTCAACCCTTTTTCGTGAATTGTTTGTGTTTTTTCAGGTTTGCACGCGATCTGAGGGGCGTAGATATTACAGCGGGGCGTCTAGAGATGCGGAATTAAATTCTCCGTCGGGTGGTATTTAATTGTTGCAGGAATTCTACCTGCAACCTGCAAAAATTTGCTTATAAGAGTAATTTTTTAATCCTTTTTCGTGAAATGTTTGTGTTTTTTCGGGTTTGCACGCGATCTGAGGGGCGTAGATATTACAGCGGAGCGTCTAGAGATGCGGAATTAAATTCTTCGTCGGGTGGTATTTAATTGTTGTAGGAATTCGACCTGCAACTCGCGAAAATTTGCATAAAAGTGTAATTTTTTAACCCTTTTTCGTGAAATGTTTGTGTTTTTTTCGGGTTTGCATGCGATCTGGGCTGCGTAGTTATTTCAGCAGGGCGTCTAGAGATGCGCAATTAAATTCTTCGTCGGGTGGTATTTAATTGTTGTAGGAATTCGACCTGCAACTCGCGAAAATTTGCATATAAGGGTAATTTTTTAACCCTTTTTCGTGAAATGTTTGTGTTTTTTTCGGGTTTGCATGCGATCTGGGCTGCGTAGTTATTTCAGCTGGGCGTCTAGAGATGCGCAATTAAATTCTTCGTCGGGTGGTATTTAATTGTTGTAGGAATTCGACCTGCAACTCGCGAAAATTTGCATATAAGTGTAATTTTTTAACCCTTTTTCGTGAAATGTTTGTGTTTTTTTCGGGTTTGCATGCGATCTGGGCTGCGTAGTTATTTCAGCTGGGCGTCGGGCGTCTAGAGATGCGGAATTAAATTCTTCGTCGGGTGGTATTTAATTGTTGTAGGAATTCGACCTGCAACACGCGAAAATTTGCATAAAATGGTGATTTTTCCCCCTTTATCGTGAAATGTTTGTATGTTTTGTGGATACAACATTTGTTGAACACTGTTGTGATTAGAAAATTAACATAGTAAGTAATATATTGTTACCATATTAGATCTTATTTTTGTTATCTTTATATTTAGGTGCTATAAAGTTTTAGTTAATTTAGGGAATTAAAAATGAATTAAAGTCACAAGTCACAGCGCATCTGATTTGTGTTTGTTTTTTAGATGTCAATGAGTTGAACGTGACCTCGGTGTACAATCGTGCCTGCATTCAATTGTGAGTATTTAAATTCGTATCATTTTCATATCTGCTTCGTTGACGTAGCCTGCGATATCATTTCCTTGTTTAGTCGATCGTGCGATGTTGTTCGGTACACACGTGTTTTGTTCACAAGTCGATCTTCGTAACTAGTTTGCGCGTTTCTTGTGATTTTAAGTCGGTAGTTAATTAGAATCGATCACCAAAGATAACATTTAGAATTAACGGACTAGGGCGGCGTGCAGTTAATGAATAATCGCGCGTGGAAGCCAGAATTGTGTAGTTTTACAATGTGCGCACGTTTTTGCCGTCGGCCGCCGGATATCTTACGTCGGCTAAGAAGTCCGTCCCAGTGGTTTTATGTGCGTAATGATATTAATTTGTGAAACTAAACACTGTTTGTCCCCGTGAGGGAAATTTCAATCGAGAAAGTGCACGTAGGTAACTGTGCAACATTAACATTCGATGGATTAAACAATTAATGAAGATGTTTCATGGACAAAATGAATTTATCAGACGTTAAAGAAAAGCGAGGTAACCTTTGAATAAATAAATACTCTGAAAATAATTCAATTTTAACAAATAATTTTAAAATTCAACATGTACTCTTGTGATTGTATGAGTTGCAATAAACTCTACTTTTAATATTACATTTGCTAGTATATTTGTCCATGTTTCCTTTTTGTCGTTTTCAGAATTAGATTTAAAGACCAAATTTGATAGTACGTGTTTAAAATGTGAATGTACGTGTCATAAGTGTTGTTGTTTTTAAAAAGGTGAGAAAAACAACAACATTTATACCTGAAACGAATAAGGCTCGATAAGAGAGCCGTGTGGCTTAGGTGGCATGTGCACGTGCTATCATGCTAGAGGTTCGTGGATCGAATCTCACTTGTAGAAAGCGATTTTATTAAATAATAAGAAATTTAATAAATGTGGGTTGCATACCACAAAAATTCAAGATTCAAATGTTAGAAATAACTTGAAAAGCAAAGTACAACGAAGCAACAATAAGAATAAATAGAAGATGGTGGAGGAGCAAATAACTAATATAAATAATATATAAATAACAAATAACAGAGAACAGAGTAGAGAAGAGGAGAGGAGATAGAAGAAAGAGGACAGGAGTGGATGAGATTTTTAAATTTTTTGGCACGTGTCGTTATAAGACAGTCTACGGTCGATCGCCCACTGCCCGTTGCGTCCATTGCTCCCGGCCCATCCTACAGCTACGATGACTCTGCGCTTCATCCCCGAAATTATCAGGCATATCAACAATTTTTATGGTGGGGGATCACCCCAGAGAGAGGGAACTCCTTATAAGGACATCCTTTTCAGAAATTGTAAAAATATTTCCAATTTTTAAGTCGCCTCACGAGAGGGGACACTTAAAAATATTCTTACAAGTTCTTACCTGTAGCTGAAATGAAAGATGGAGAACACAAATCATACAGGATACCTTAACAATTTTTATAGTGGGGATCATCCCCTGAGAGAGGGAACTCCTTATAAGAACTTGTAAAAATATTTCTAAGTTTTAAGTCGTCTCGAGAGAGTCGACACTTAAAAATATTCTTACAAGTTCTGACCTGTACCTGCAATGATAGAAGGGGTGCACGAATAATTCCACTCACAACCTCTTTTAACATTTCTTTATTAACAAATTTAATAACAGAATGTAAAATACCTACAAATTTCAGGCCGCCATCTTGAAACAAGTCTTACGACCTGCATATCACATATGCACATAAGTACCAAATTATAAACACCAACATACTACAGGATTATGAAATAGCAATTAAATACAGGAAAACTAATCTACAGGGTGTTACAAAAAGAAAACCAATGATTAAAAAAAGAGCAATACACTATAACAATAAATTTTCCCCATATGAACGAGGATGTTAAGGAAAAGTGATATACTGGGTGATACAGAAAGAAAATATAAAGTTCAAAATAAAAAACACCCGGACAACAAACTTGGTCAGTGACAGATTGAGAATGAAGAAAAACGAGTACAGGGTGACACAAAAGGAAAATTACTAGATTTAAAAATAAAATACTACGATCAAGGAGAAAACAACTGGAAGAAACAAATGTAGTCAAGTACTGACTGCAAATCAGGAAATAAATATACAGGGTGATACATAAGGAAAATTTAAACATTTAATATAAAATCCCATGATCAAAACATACAAAAAGATCAATTTTTATAAATTTTTGTTGATCAAGAAAAGCCTATATACAGGATGTTGCAAAAAGGAAAATGAGACTATGCATTTAAAAAAAATCGCAAAAAATAATCAACAAAATTAACAACTACAAAATTTTACAAATTTCCCAACGAATATCAAAGGAAAGTGAAAAGAAGGCAACAGAACAGAAATACAACTACCAACTACTAATACATTCCAAAGGGGAGAAAATATCTAAGAAAAGTAAAAGTAGAGAAGGTAGGATAATGATATATATATATAAATTTTTTTTATAACAATAAAACACCATAATGAATTTTATTGCATATTGAGATTTTCTTTGCCATGCCAACCATAGAAAAGTGCTGACCAACGGCATGATACACGATTTGCGGTAAGATATTGAAATCGTTTTTAAACGCGTCAATGCGATTACAGTATTTTGAATGCAAAAGAACAATAAGAGCTGAGAATAACGGTGAAAACCACATTCTCAGGCAAGATCGAAAACGCAACCGACGGCATGCGACAATTTTGACTTACGACTATTACGGTACTCTCTTACACGCGACTAAAGACATCAATGTGATAATGATGTAATAATATTTAACAACTTACCGAGGCAAAGGGTAATCAAAGGAAGCACTGAAACGGAAAAAAAACACGTGTTTTAGATTACGAACTGTGCTGCGCCGCTCTATTAAGACTACCCGTCGGATAGTGTCTTGTTTTATACGCAATGTTTTAACCGACAAACGCACAAATATGAACCCATCGTTTCACGCACAAATCATTATAAGCACAACACTAAATAGTCTATTATCATTACCTGTCGGTATTTATGTCGATAATTAACGTTAAAGTGCAATTTATAGGATTGAAATAAAAGAAATGAGAGAAGTCGCGTGCAAATAAGAACAAACTGAAACGCTCGAATGCTCGTCGCACGACCGCAGCGTGGAACTGGTTCAAAGCGATAAGAAAGTTGTTTATATACAAACACCAACACACGCGTAGAGCGGAAGATGAAACATTCAGGTATGTCTGGGTAATACAATTTATATAATACTGAAAAGACATAAAATCGGGCGTGCAAACCCGAAGAAACAAACAATTCACGAAAAAGGGTTGTAACATTATCCTTATATGCAAATTTTCACGGGTTGCAGGTAGAATTCCTGTAAGATTTAAATACCACCCGACGGAGAATTTAATTCCGGATCTCTGGAAGCCCTGCTGAAGTTACTATGCCGCTTAGATCGCGAGCTAACACAAAAAAACACAAACATTTCACGAAAAAGGGATGAATAATTACACTTATATGCACATTTTCGCGGGTTCGAGGTAGAAATCCTGCAAGATTTAAATACCACCCGACGGAGAATTTAATTCCGGATCTCTAGAAGCCCTGCTGAAGTTATTATGCCGCCTATATCGCGTGCAAAGCCAAAAAAACACAAACATTTCACGAAAAAGGGTTGAAATTTCACACTTATATGCAAATTTTCGCGAGTTGCAAGTAGAATTCGTGCATGATTTAAATACGACCGGACGGAGAATTTAATTCCGCATCTCTAGAAGCCCCGCTGAAGTTACTACGCCGCTTAGATCGCGAGCTAACCCCAAAAACACAAACATTTCACGAGAAAGGGATGAAAAATTACACTTCTATGCAAACTTTCGCGGGTTGTAGGTAAAATGCCTGCAAGATTTAAATACCACCCGACGCAGAACGTAATTTCGCATCTCTAGACGCCCCGCTGAAGTTACTACGCCGCCTAGATCACGTGCAAACCCGAAAAAACACAAACCTTGGCCGAAAAAGGGTTACACTTATATGCAAATTTTCGCAGGTTGCAGGTCGAATGCCTGCAACAAACAAACACAACCCAAAGGAGAAATTAATTCCGCATCACTCGTCACGCCGGTCAAGGATACCTATGTGATGCCGTACGCGCGAAATGATTAAAAAGGCGTACGAGCAACGAGCACGAATGTATAGAACAAACAAGTAATATATACCATACCAGTATTTTATGCGTTCCAACACTCCGACAGGGGCTGATGTACTTAGCAACTCGCCGTCTTGTGAGTTGCAAAATACACTTAACCGGCATTTACGGACAATAAAGATGCAAATAGTCAATAACAATACTATAGTCACAAGTTAAAACTAAATCGTCTATTGACGATCGAATATAATGCAAATTTAAAAAGCGCAAGCCCGAACAAATGATACGAAGTCGCGAGAAACACGTCTGAATTACCTACGGACCGGCACGACACTGAGCGCGATCCGCGGATAGTGCACGCCGTAGCCGGGCTAACACCGACGCGACAGTTCACGATAAGAAACTTGATAAGACCTTGTACGCGAATTGCAATAGGCCCGATACTCGCGATCTAAACTAAACGTGAATATGCAGCATGCGGTGCGTGACGACACTCGAGAATCTCATGCGATGCATTCCACGCGGCGAAAGCGATAAGAAAGTAAATTGTGTTCAAAACAAACTCAAAGCAAACACAATGCTCGTGCCAAATGCCCACGTTTGCCGATAAATATAGAAATAAACAGTACAATTCTATTTCATGATTTATACTTCATGCTAGTGCCATCTCGGAATGATACAGATAGAAGTCTCGGAATTTAAATTATTAATTTTAATGAAAGATTGCGCGATTTAACATTAACTATTAATGTGGTATTTTGCAATATGTATTAATAGCAATTTCTGCTGGAAATAATCAACAAAAAATGAATTATTTCAATGAATTAAAATACTTCAATACATACAATCACACAAATGTGCACAATTTTGTCATCCTTACTTGATACAGAATTAAAGGCTGCTCCTTTCATGAGCACACACGCTTAAGCTATCATAAGGTGCGAGTGTGCTTTGACGTCCGTGATTAAATAACGTATGTAATAGGTAAATATTTTTGTTCGCAAATATAATTAAAATTTAAAAACATGAAAAAACTCTTCGTAAGAAAGAAAAAAAATGGGTAAATGAGAATCAGCTACACATTTATCCAGGTACGATACCCTGAACACGAGTCACTTCTACCGCTACCTTCATACGGTGCCCTGAATACGAGTCACTGCTACCGCTGCCCTCGTACGGTGCCCTGAATGGGAGTCACTTCTACCGTTACCCCCTATGGTGCACTGAACACGAGTAGAAGTCACTTTTACGGCCACCCTGCTACGGTACACCGAATGATACTCAACTATACAATTGCGATAAATTGCAATATATAACGAAATATCCAAAGAAAATTTTTTCTTGACTTTCTTGACATACTCAAGTGAAAAAACTTTAATTTAACCGTCTGGTCTCGCAGAGAATGTAGGTAAATGTTCGTCGCAGTTAATTATAATAATATAATTTCAATTATTACGTGATTATAAATTATACTTTATACAAAGATACTGATAATAAATAGCATCATTATTTTTCGAGGATTTTCGATAGTGAATAAGTTTAAAATATTTTCAAAGTTTGGAAAATCCTTTATAAGATAAGAGAAAAAAATAATGATAACTCGAGGTGTAAAGGTTCTGAAATCGGGTTTAAAAGTGCTAAAAAGTGGATGTTTTCATATTTTAAGAGTTTTCTTCGATTACGAATATCTCGTAAACTAAAAATGATAGAAAGGAGCGGATTGAAAATTCATAATCTACGGAAAATTCTCTATAAGATAAGCCAGGTAAATTGACAATTTACCATTTAAATAAATAATAATTGAAGATTATGAAACTTCGGAAAGATATTCCGTAAGATATCATAAGGAAATAATTAAAATTCGAGACATAGTTCAGAAATCGTGTGGTAGAAAGGAACGTATTTCAAATTGTTATTCTTCTTCTACTTCTCTATAAGACAAAGTATTAAAATAGTGTACTCGTATGCTGTGCCTCAGCCAACCAAACAAGGCGCAAGGACGGCACCCGACCGTGTGCACCAATTTCAATAAACACGAGATCGGCGATTTAAACAAAACTAGAACACCAGCATAGCGAGAAGTGAGAGGATGGCAACGACAACACACGGTCATTTTGCTCGTGGCATGCCAACGTTTGCTGATAAAAAGGAAATAAACAATACAAGTCTATTTTACGATTTGAACTTCATGCTAGTGCCATCTATAAATGATACAAGTAGTCCTAGAATTTAGACCCAGTATGGAAATTCATGATAAATTAAAATACGATTTACGTAATTCAAAATTATATAAATATCCCTTCAGACAAGAAGTTGAAGAAGTATCTTACTAATTCTTGTCTAAATAAAACTTTAAATTTTCATTCGAAAGTTTCCTTCAGGCAAAACTTTGTCATTTGGTAACATTGTAGAACAGCAATAAAACGTAGAACTAAACTGAAATCCAGGTACACGCCAAACTCTTCATAAAAATAATAAAATTATTTTACTTACCAGTTATGCAAAACCGTAAATCGAAGACATGTTGATAGATACTGAAATAAATGAGAAACAAAACATTAGTAACAGCATTTCGTGCCATATTGAAATGAATCTGAGTTCCGTCGGAACTTAGTTTTCATTTTAAAATTTCTTTTATTCACATAAGGATAGGAATGACAATATTTACCATATAGAATATTAGTCCATAATCATCTGCTGATGATATAAATGTTTTTCACAAGTCAATTTATTATTGGCATTCACAAAACATCGCCGGCCGTCGCCCGTCGGCAACGAACTCATAAACACGTGAGTGCACTAAATACGCAAAATTTAGAATTACGAAGATTACACACGCGATAAGGAAATATAACGCGATTTACCGAACTACTATGAAAGAATAACACAAGCCGAAAGTGTGGAATGTGTGCTCGCCGTTATCGCACCGATGCAACAAAACAAAATTCACTCGCTGAAATATTTTTAGTAGGGCTGTACAAATTAGCCGGCCAAGCCGGTTAAGGAAGTTAACCAGGCTAATTAGCTGGCTGACTACTCGGCTTAGCCGGTTAACCGAAATTAGCCAGGCTAATCAGCTAAAGGCTAAACCGGCCAATGGGCTAATTTGATATTTTATGCAATATCTTTGTTTCCAAATGCAAGTGATAACAATTCGCCGCGTTATCAATACGTTTGTCGGACTTGGCCCGAACAGATATTGTATAAAATATATATAAATATATAAATTAGCCAATTGGCCGGTTTAGCCTTTAGCTGATTAGCCTGGCTAATTTCGGTTAACCGGCTAAGCCGAGTAGTCAGCCAGCCAATTAGCCTGGTTAACTTCCTTAACCGGCTTGGCCGGCTAATTTGTACAGCCCTAATTTTAGTCAAACCTGCACTGTTGCGCCATCTGAGGACTCTTTCTAGTACCTCTAATAAGTACAAATGCGTACAAACGCATGTGTAGCAGTGTGGATTTGTTTATGAGTCAGTGAGGTGTCACGGACTTACATGGTAGCGTCCATGTGACCCACGTACCGGAAAATGTGCGTGCACTACCCTGTCTAAATAAGTGGCAATTTTATACAGAAATGTTAAATGTCAAATCTAGATGAGGCGTGATGTTCAAATTTAAATCTGCGTTTTTCAAGTATGATTCCAATAATAAATCATAAATCGTATTGTATTAGTGTTTCTCTTATAACCATTAAATACATCCTAATAGAGAATTTAACTTTGCATCTTTAGACCCTGCGCTCAAGTAAACGGCTGCAACGTAGGCGAGTGCCAAAGCAAGGCTATAAGAGAGTCGACATGTTGCGGCTATACGATTTGAAACCACAGAATACAATAGCCGATCTATCGTATTTACTGAATGAAAATCTTCGAAACATTTCGTGTAACGAGAAATGCGAATAAACCAGCGATAGCAGGTTATTGGCTATATTGCAATAATACTATTACCGAATTAGAAAAAAACTTGGGGCGTTGCGACTGCGAGCACTCAATGAGAAACCGGCGAACGCCGCGTAACACCAACGCACAAAATAAGACCGATTGAAAATAAATATAAAAACAAAACATGCAGCGCCATCTATCGGTACACGGCATAACGACAAAATAGAGTGTAGCATACTAACTTAAAATTACTACCGCCATCTAGTGACGGAGGTCAGAATTGATTCACTTTAGTAGAAAACTGTAATTCCAGAAATCATTTCTTCCGAACCTGTCATTTTTCTGTGGCGCAACTGAATTGAAAACCGCCAAATACAACAGCAATTTTTCTTATATGTACAATAAAAAAATGAGATTTATAAGAAAGAAAACTTACTTTCGATGTGTGCTGTGACTATTCCAGTACAGCACTTTGAGCTGGTTAAGCCCTAAAACAAACAAAAAATAAATAAGCAAATAAGAAAAAACATACAAAAACATTCAAATTCCTTGTATTAATATTCACACAAGGTTCTCTGATACTCAGATGATCCATTGACAGCTAGTTGATGTCTTAATGAAGTCATGAAGCTATAAATTCAACTTACCAGAGTCTAATGATGATACTACATCATCAAAACCGGCGAAGATAAAGTCCACAATGTGTGCACAATGTTCGTTTCGTGAAATCTTGACAATCACATCTATTTTGAGATAATTCACATATAAAACGGATAAATCACGCTACAAAACTTTAGTTTAACGCACAAACTAAACACAAACCGCGTTGTTTATAAGAACACAAAGTTATGAAGAAAACAACAAGCAACATGCCCCACAACGGACGAATGTATACTGGCGTGCAAAAATGGCGTCAACGTCAAGCACAGTGTTGCCAACTTAGATTTTGAAAAGACGTAAAGAGCCAAATCTTGAAAAATTATTTTTAATGTGACTTGGTCAGAACAAATAAATAGCCCAATTTCAGCTTTTTATTTGTATTTCATTCCTCGAGAAACATCAATAAACTAGTTTCGCTGTGTAGGCTAATATTGTAGATAGTGACATTTATTTAGGTGCCTACTTACTACATGTATGTTCAACCTAACCACGAAACAAATGAGATTCCCGTATTTATTTACTGTATATGTATATTCACCTACTTGATAATAATTAATACACACTAAAACAAAATGCTGTCGTTAAACTGGATTACTATTAACAAGAGGTAATGATGTTGAATATCTGATTTAATCAGTTACTTTGACACCTTATTGATTTCATTTATTGCAGGCTCTTAGAAGCTGCAACTCTAATCAATGCAACACCCCTTGAGACATTCACCAACATCCTTCACATAATCACATCCACAGGAGTAATTACAGAAGATGATTTGGCAACAATAAACAAATCATTACAGTACTCTGATGATCAGTTGCAATTGCTTGTACAAAGTATTCTTCACATCTATAAAAAAGCAAGTTTAATTGTTATGAAACCAGTCACCTTACAAAAAGATTTGGAAAACAAATTGAAGCTGAATTCAGAAAAGTCTGAGGTTTTTGTCAAAGTCTGGACTGATGTTACCAAGAGAGACTTTGGTGATTTGGACAGAAGGAAAAAACTAGATGGGGTTGCTTGGTCTTTGAATTTGAACACACATTCATCATCCAATCCACCAGGATCACAAATTCTTAAACCAATAGCAAGACTTCAGTTATCAATGTCTGATTTTGAGAATAAGCATAGTGAGGAAACCACTTTAGAGTTGGATGCACAAGGACTTGTGGAAATATATAAAACTCTAGAGAGTGTACAGAACAAATTGGATTCAGTTAATAATGTTAAATCATGATATAAATAAAATTAATGTATAATTTTAGTTGTTTTATGTCCTGAAGTGCCCTTCCCAAGCAAGTGTGACTTAAATAAAGTTGATTAACTTTTAGCATAGCCATAAAATTTTGCTTTACTTTTTCTTTAATGTAATTTGCAGAATCTGTGGATTAAACGTTTGTAGAACTATAATTTAATTGAAAATTGACTTACAGGAAATATACTTTTGAAAAACTACCTAGATGGCGCTACAATAAACTTTTAACTAAAATATATGGAAAATGTTATAATTGTATAAATAATTGTAGCCCGCAAGAAGTGTTGAATCTTAAGGAGCAAAAATTATGTTGTATCTACTTGTTACTACATGTCAAACAATGTAAAGCTAAAACTTATTAGCCATAACCTCTATACATTATCTAGTCTACTAGTTTTACGAAAATCTTCACTTGGTCCTTGTTTTCAAATCAAATTATAAACCACCATGGTTACAACAAATAAATAATCTGTCTATTTATAACACTGTTTTATATTTACATCAAACGTTTACCTTCAATATACTAATTTTTAATAATTATTAAACACATTTTAAGCTGCAAAATTTTAATTATGATTCTAAAACTTGCAAAACGCTTTTCAAACTTCGAGCAACAAACATTCATGTTGCCAGAAAGTGTGCAACCATTTCAAAAAACGCAAAAGATGTGAAAGTCTACGATGTCTCCCCGCGCTGCACCCTTAACGGTTTCATTTCGTACAAAACTATTCTATTGCCGCACGATGTGAACAACACCGCAGAGACCGACAAGTTAATCCTGAAATGCAGCAAGGAAATCACGGTTAATCAAATTGGTAATTCGATGAATTTAACGACGGCTAGAGATGCTTTGGATGATAGCACAGTGTGTGAATTACATGTTCCACTCAAAGCAAGTAAGTTCAGTATATCAAGAAAAGATATTCTTAATAAATAATTGTGTTGAAATTGATTTTTTGCCTTAGATATCAACCTGACTGCTTTGGGTGACATCAAAGTTGGTGACTTGCAGGGCGACGGTGTACGTGTTTTCAGCGAAATGGGCTGCGTAACTTTGGGAAATTTAAAGTGCAGCGAAGTTAGCGCCGGTACCAACGACAAGGATATTGTCGTTGAGGGAAACATAGAAGCAACTAGAGTTGATCTATTATGTCGTCAAAGTGGTGTAAGTCTTTTTCTAACTTCGGGCCAAAACTTTAATATAATTATAATTAATATCATTTTTAGTCCATCAAAGCACAAAAAATAAAATCCCTTGGCCTGAAATTGGACACAAACGAAGGCAATATACATATGAACGCGTGCTACTCAAAGAATGGTTACTTCATTACCAAAACAGGCAACATAGACTTGAAAAACGTCCACAATCGTTGCCGTATTGACACAATAAAAAACGGCCAAGTGAAAATGGTGGGCTTCGAAGGAGCGCTTGAAGTATCCCTACAAAACGGCAAAGCAGATCTTCAAATACAGAAATTATTCGACAATTCAGATATAACAGTGCGTGAAGAAGGCGAAATCACACTGCGCATACCGAAAGAGTTATTAGACTACGTGGAGATCTTGATTTGGAGCAAGGGGTGCTACGTGGATGATGACATCCCGTACACTGAAGACGACTTGAAAGATTTGACGACCATTCGCAAAGCGGGCACAACTGCAGAGCACGTGTTGCGAGTGCGATGCATGAAAGCAACCTGCAACGTACATTTTGCGAGTTGGATCGACATGATGACACAAAATATGGCAAAGTCAACGGATGATCAAAGCCTCAAGAAACAAGCCAACTAAATCACTCACAGTCTCAGTCTATCAGTATTGAAATAAAATGACTGATTCTATTTTTTCGGCCGTGAAATCGTGTTAGAATCGTGCGTTTGTCTTTATCACAATATAAAATTACAAATTGAATCTTAACATCATCATTTCTTAATTTAATTTTTAAAATAAGTTAATATTATTCAGATTACTTACTTAATCAGAGTATGAGTGAAGTGCTGTTGTAGGGGGTGATACAGTTGTGTTTCTTAATGCATCCCAATCCCATATCTATTATAAAACAATGATAAATATAAAAATTTTATTTTTGCAGAATTGATAAATTAAACTTACTAGAATGTGATTGTTTGCATCACCACAAGCAAACGTCTGTCCCGATGGGCTGAAAGCAACACTTGTTAATGCACTGCCCAATCCATGAAGTCTGAAGATTGGCCGTCCTTCCAAGATATCAATGACGCTGATAAATCCACTGCTACAGGTTGCAAGGAGGAACTTGCCTGAAGGATGCCAGTCAACACTGGTTACATTCTCATTGAGCACATAATGTTGATTCATTCTTCCTGCGATTATGTCGTAGATTCGCACGGAGCCTGTCTGCTGAGCACATGCGACGTATTTTCCATATATTGATAGTTTATTTGTACTTGCTGCAAGTAAAATTAACAAAATTAGAAGTAAAATATAAAATTTTCCATGAAAATGTTTTTTTTAAATTTTACATACCTTGATTTGTAAGTGTATGAATAAGATCCTGATTATCTACATCCCAAATACGGATGGTTTTATCCTCAGCACATGACACAGCAATAGATCCATCTTGGAAAAATCTTGCACAGTTTATATAATGATTGTGTCCCACTAGCGAGTGCAGGAACTTCCTTGTTTTCACATCCCACAATTTCATGCATTTATCTTTAGCACCAGATAAAAGTCGGCGGTTATCATATGAAAACTGAATGCTCGTTACTGGTTTCATATGTGCGCGTATTTGTTCGGTTTTGCCAGTTAATGAAGGCACCCATAACTGAATATGCATGTCATCCGAACAAGAAACAAGCAACTTGCCTTTACTAGAACAATCCAGATCGTTCACAGCAGCTGTATGTCGAGAAAACCGATAGGTGCGCAGGTCTTTGGTGTTGAGGTGCCATATTAACAAATCGTTATCTTTTCCGCTGCTTATTAATTCGTTTTCATTGCGAAATTTTAGCGCAGTCACTGCTGCAGTATGTGCGACTAAATCCAGACGAAGAACAGGATCTGATTGTTTATGTAGTTCGTTCATATTTTGATTAATAAATTAATCTATAGATGAAATACTATCGTGGTCAATACAAACATTAAACACAAGTTGAACACAAAAAACATACGTACATATGTTTACGGTATGTTTGTTTGAACTGAAAATGACCGTTAACACAAAGGTTAGGACAGCTAGTTTGTAGCAATGCACCAGGAAACATTTAGTTTAGTTCATGTGTTCGCCGATAGAGGAACACAAACTCAAAAATTAAATTTAAAAATCTTATAGTTCACATTTTATATTAACAAATGTCATTTCTTGTAAGAGTTATTTAAAAAACAACACAGTTTTTGCTTATTATTTAAGTATCATTCAAATATTTGTTAATGTAATTTAAATTAACAATTTGACACTTAAAATTATGGATGCGTCGGCGCGTTGCATCAAGCATGTCTGAACGTCAGATTTATTTTTGTTTTGGTCGTTGTCGAGCAACGCCGCCTACTTCTCAATCGTTTTAAGTAATGTGGTGGTAATGCGCCTGTAATCGCTGTACATACGTTGTTAAACAGACTCTGAAACTGAAAGCTTCGCGCTTTGAAAGGTATCCAACGACGCATTGAACTGGCCTTGCCAATTATGCCATTGCATGTTGACGAATTTATAAGTTAACACCAAAGTGCATTAAAAAGTGCTCAAGTTCCTAGTGGGGTTCACCATTTTATCAAAAATTTGTAAACAAGCCGCCATTGCCGACATTGACAGTCCCACGTTTTATCAACTTCATTGTTAGGATTTCATAGGTAAATAACTTTTGTTTCATATTGAAGCCTAATCTTGAAATAATATACTTAGTTGTAGATATTGTTAGTGTTTCTATTTCTAATACATTGTCATCAAGTATTAATAATGGTCATGATTTTAATTATTATATAATGTCATAACAAACTTTATTTGTAATAAATAATAACCACTATTTTGTGTATTTCTAGATAATCATGACATTACCAATCCAACTTGCAGCAATTGGAGCTGGTCTCATCTTTGCTTTTTATTTAATCTTCAAAGATCGCAACAGACAACTGACTTATACAACTGGTCCATCAGGGGGTTATGATGCTGATAACACCTACACATATAAACCACCCAGTTATGATACTCAGTAAGTGCACAATTTGTCTAAATATTCATGCTTTTTTTTATACAAACTTTATTTTAGCCCTTTACATACTGGTAACTCCTCCACGACAAAGAATGAGTGTTGCATATGCCTAATGGACCTTGGTGAAGGCGACCAGCCGACGAGGAAGTTGCGCTGCAAGCACGTTTTTCATGAGGATTGCATCAAGACCTGGCTGGTCCAGGACCGAATCTGCCCGATCTGCCGAAAATATGCTTAATCTTATTTAAATTAATTTTACAATTATGACTTGAGGCTGTAACATGTTAAATACTCTTTTGCACACATATTGCAATAATTAAATTAACTGTATTAGATATAAATTTACAAAAAGGTTGTTCAAATGTATTGAAAAACGAAGTTGTGTAGTGTTTACAGGTTGACAAACTTCGAATAATAAACAATTTTGATTACTCCTGTGTGTGTTTGTTTCATGTCTTGAGTGGTTTTATTTTTTTAATTATCTGCGCGTGTTTTCGTGAGCGTCGACGCACGTACTTTCTATATTTATCAAAGTCCCGAAAGCCGCTCGCTGCCAATTCGCGTCGCGACGCTTTATAGCATTTTTTATAGCGTTTATAGCTTTTACTACATGTACGTTGCGTTGCGGGAACATGTGTGACTGTTTCATGTGTTCGCTTTCAGTGTCGTCGGTCGTCTGCGGGGACACGCATTGCTTGTGTGTTTTATCTGTGCTCGTGCAACAGCAAATTTATCAATAGATTTAAGTGAAGTGAAGCTAATCATAAAACATATTGTGTTATTGAATACTACAGATGTAATTTAAACATGTTGTAATTGTGTAATCATAAAATTTGGTTTAAGTAAGTTTAAAGTAATATTTTATTGTGTTTGTGAAGTGTACGAGTAATTAAAGCTTAAAAATTAGTAGAAAACGTGTTAAAATTGTGTTAAATTAGTATTTGTATCAGAATAAAACATAAATCTTGTTTGTTAGACGAAAAATGCACTTTTGTGGCTTTAAATGAGCTTTCAAATGTTTAAATTTACAAATTATTGTCAAAAATGATTGTAGTATTGATTTCTCAAGCATACAAAATGTAGAAATTGAATACTTTTGTGATCACATCAAAAAGAATTTTCATGCTGGCATGAATTCAATCAAACGTCAGTAAAAACTCCATACACAATGATAAATAACTGAGAATCTATCAGTCTTCATCACTATAAGAACATTAAAATACACTTTATTAGTGCTTACAGTAATCTACACTAATTATGGGTGTAATTATTATTATTGTAGCACAATAACATAAAATATTTGTGCTTTATACTTGTTTAAACATATTGTACTTCATAATTTAATCACTTTCTTTTTAATGTACGAGTAATGTGATGATAATCACCTGTCCACTGTACTGTCAGTGTCAGAATGTCAAAATTTGTAGTTATAAAAACACCCAGCCGCTTATCAAACGATGAAAGTAGTACTTCTATGTTAATCAAATCTATCACATCCATCAAGCCGCATCAGATAATACTCGCCGTCACTAATGCCAGCCGCCGGTAATTTTCTTCAATTGCGTTAATAATAAATGCTACTTAAATAATTATGACTCTCAGGGCGCACCATCAGAAAGCGATCACATCTTCGCGCGATAAGCCACGGCAATGGGCCTGCCCGGCGCCTCCACTCGACCGCGAACTTTGAATCCGTCAACAACCAGCCGGGTGAAACAATCACTAAACAGCAAATCAATTACTTTAAAATACGTGCAACTAATAGTTTTAAAAATTAAATGGTTGAGTAATAAGTGTGGAAGCAATAAAATGGAATTTAGCAAATTGCAATACCTTCCAATATTCATGTACTTGTGGTTTATGAGTACATTCGTCCTGACGTAAGTATTCACTTTAATATTTTTTGCGCTACATTTTATTACACTGGACGCACTCCAGCGATATTATTACTGACTGTTATGTCAGATGTTTACGTGCACTGTATGATTATATCTGCGCAGATATGTGATATCGGTGATTCAAAAGGACGTCGAACCGATTTTCCCCTACATCAGCGACACGGGCACGTTCACACCGACGAGCTGTATTTTCGGCCAGCTGCTGAACGTGGGTTCGATTTTGTGTGAGTTTTATTCATTTGTTTCAGTGTGCACACGCATATTAGTGTCCGACCAAAACAAATAAAATATTCAGACGCTTGTTTCTTATAAAACCTAATCTCAATAAAAAACTTTATTTTTGTCGGACATTAATATAAAGGATAAAGACCCCTTGGGGTTACTTCGGGTGCCATTTGCATGTAAATGTGAACTACGTACATTTTATTGATTTTTTTCACCACCTACATAAGAAACACAATTAAAACTAAAACTGTATTTTTGTTTGCAGTGTCAATTATAATTTACATAAGATATCTGCAAATAAAAGAGATTAATGGACATTTGACGAAAGGATTGTATAGTTCAAATGTCACATGTCTAATCCTCGGCTGGCTGGCTTCGCTAGGCGTCGGCTTAGTGGCTAATTTTCAGGAAACTGAAGTTTTTAGTATTCACATATTCGGTGCCATAATGGCATTCGGTTTGGGTTCCGTTTATCAATTAATTCAGGTAATATTCATACTAGGCAACCAAATATACAAGTTAATATATGAATATTTTCACTAATATTATGATTGATTAACGCAGTGTCACATTTCGGCTAAAACAATGAAAGAGTGTCGCATCAGCCAGCACGTCGTCAATTTTCGTTGGATTCTTGGAATTGTCAGCACTGTTACGTTTTTTACTTGTTTTTGTTTCGCCGGATTAGCCATGATGAAATATCAAGGTAGGCAACCAAGAATACAAAGTACACATACAAAGTGATACATAATTAATGTTATTTTAGGTACGGATATGACAAAATGGAAAAAAGCCGATGGAGGCTACTCATTGCATTTAGTCAGCACGATCACCGAGTGGATCCTCGGCGTGGCGACTATGACCTACGTGTTCACATTCACTTTCGACTTTCAGCATTTCAAGCTCATCGAGCCGACGCTTCAGTTCTTCGATTAGTAATAATCACCAACAGCAATTAAAAAACATTTTTCTACGTTCTTCGAGCGATGCGATGTGCATTTCGATATTGATATTGATCTATTGCCCTTTTTTCTCGTTCTGATGAGTTTTCCCGTCGTGATGAGCGCCGGCAGTGATGAATATTTAATTCATAATCGATATTTATGGCCCTTTTTTACAAAAAAGACAAAAAATGAAAAACGAGTCTCCGAAAGTTAATCAACATAAATGCATAAACAATTGAATTGCAGAAAATAAAACTCAGTACGTGCAAGTAAAAAATCAAGTGGATATTAGACATTTATGAGAATTTTATTGTTCGTTAAATATTTAATAAGATTTTAATGGAATTAAACGAGTGAGTGCATTTTTTCTGCACAAGCAACATGAAAGGGATAAATTTGTGATGAAACGCTTCAATAAAAGACTGTAGACAACCCAACTAGCAATCATCTAATGTATATTTAAGCTGCACTGCGTGTTGCAAACATAATTTGCTACGAAAATATGATTTAAAGTGTCTATAAATAATTTACGCTAGTTCTGAATAATCTAAAACGTGTTACGTATTATTTGGCAGCTTTCTATTAATATGTACAACCTTCATTAGTAATTTCCATTTCCACATTTCGCCGACATCCGGTGCCGGCAAACCGCACCGAACGACATCGCATTAATTCGCAATGTATTCATATTATTCAGGTATTACGCAGCTTTGTGCACGGCCTCTCAACATCCGTACCTGTATTTGACGTGTGCTGAAACAGCTTGCATCCGTTTCTCTTTGCGCCTAATTGGAATTTGTCTCCGAAAACCGCCACGGAATTATAATTTACATGTTATTCAATTGTTTCGCAAGCAAATGATTGCATCACCGCTTTTGACAGATGACAGTTTGACGCATAGATCCAAAATATAAAAATGTCCAAATTTCAAGTCACCAAGAAAGAGTTTTTGAAAAACGCGTCGGCGTATCGCAATTTTAACGATCAACAACCCTCGGTCAACACGCAAACTGGCGACCATGAACAAATTCAAGAAATCAATATAGATCTACGTAACGAGAATGACCCAAAATGGCGGAAGGAAGTGCTCGAAAAATTACACACAGAAAAAGATGATTCGTTTAAAAATATTGATATAAACAAAAAATCGTCATCAGAGACAAGACAGAGTAATTCTTATCGGAAACGACGACGAATTGATATGTTAGCAGAACCTATGAGACGAATTAGTTCTAATAATCTCCCCGATCCATTCAGAGTCCGTCCAAGTGCACTAAACCACATCCCATCTCATCGAATTCAAGATCTTGCAATGCCCAGACGATTACATGCGCGTCCTCCAACAAAACAATCTGATAATGAATCAATAAATGCATCCAAAGATGAAAATAGCACGGAAAACTGTAAGAAGCAACCATACGAAATTTCAGAAAGACTTAAGTCATTAGCACAGCCACGACGTGATTTTGGTTATGAAGCAGTAATGCGATTGGTTTCTAATTGTACTAACCGCCCAATGGCCACTATTATGAATCCTAATCAGAGTAATAGTGAAGTGCGCATGCAGCGCATGGCAAGACTTGCCGAATTGACTAAAATACCAAAACATAAATTGGTTAAAGTTCAGGAGAAGCTGCCTGGCGCGGTGGCTTATTCAGCGTTAGTGTGTCGTGCTTCCGCTAGAGTTGAAGAATTAGCTGGGCCGAAGATACGAAGAACTCCGAGGGATAATGAATATGCGTTTAAAACTCGACCCGCAGCGCTGAGATACAATCCGTCGGCGCGCATTGAAAATTTAGCGATTGCTAAAATCAGGAGGAATGATTCCAATTTGTAGCTCGTGATATTTCGTTGATATTTTGAATGAAAAAATTTAGAATTTAAATCAAGCATTATTTAGTAATAAATCATAATATATATGATCTTTAGTATAACCTATTGATGAGTTTTTGATGAAATTAATCTGTAAGAGTTGAAAATGACAAAAAATTATTTTCACGTTTTACGTTGATGAAAGTTTCATTTTTGAACTGTGCCACCGCATAATGCAAGTCGTAAAATTGAAAAATCGATTAGTTTAGTTCAAAGCGTTAATTTGTCGATGCATGTGGATGCAGAGAGAAAAAATGTTACAAAACCAACTGCATTCGAATTAAATTTCGAGTTTCGACGAGTTTGCTGTAACTGTAATTTAATTGCTGTCGGTTGAAACGGCATGTCTGGACGCTGCGCAACATTCCTCTCGCAACATTTAATTACATTTTTAAATGTTGTCATTTGTAACGACAGCGCGACGATTGGAATTTCACACTTGTAATGTGAATTTCAGCGTTTGCTCGCATACATTCATCGTGTTAAAGTGCTATACAATTTATTTTTACTAAAGAAGATCAAATACTATGAAGTTTTTAATCGGACTGTAATTCCAATACATTCGATTTTGCGAAACTCTAAAGTGAATGTCATTATGTAGAGAGCAATACAGATTGTTGTTATCCATTCACTGAATGTGGATATTAATCTGTATTGAAATCCACCATCGTTTTCCCTCCAATAATTAAGTTTTTTCCTAAAATAAATTTTGAGGTTATTTTAGTTAAACTTGGTGAATGTAGATGGCGTACCTGTAAATTCATCAGTAGCTAACTTCCCGTACCACAATGTGAGGAAATAAAACGTCGCCATAAACAAACAAAGTAAAAACCGACAGCAAAATAATGTTTTACTCACAGAAAATCCACTGTCATGGTTTATAAAGTGATAAGATATTTTTGTCTAAAATATTCACAAGAAATTATATTAATTAATGCAATTTTCCTCAACTTACTTGAATAATAAAATAAATGGTAGCAGTAGTAAAGCAAAGGAAAGCTCCAGTTAAATGAGTAATTCCCATGTCAATCTCAGAAAAATTCGCGACCATATTCAGCCCAAAACATGACAGCAAACCAAAAATACAGCTGTTTTGTTCCAGACCGGTGATAATGATAACTCCAACTTTTCTTTCACGCAATTCATTTGGCAATATCGTAGATACATTGATATCACGACTAAAATCAGAAAATTACAAGTTGATCACCGGTGGTTATAATCGGTTATTTAGATGCAAGCTCACGTAAAACGGTTGTGATGTTGAGTGTGAAACCGAATATCCCACTTTCCGGCGGCTCGGCGCCGGTGTCGCTGATGAACGGAAACCAGTAGTAGACATGACCGAGGGACACCGAAATCGTGTAGCTGCTCAATTTAATTAACACCAGATTAAATTAATCACCTCACGTTATATCTATTATCATTATAGTGATTACCAAAATAAAATATTCATTAAACGCATTTTAAAGTTTGGATAAGTAACTTTTGATTAAATTGTGTTTGTATGTGTATATTTGGTTGCCTAAATTTCTACTCACGTTATTATTAAACCTATGATTGTAAAACAGCAGCCAATCAATGGTACGTTGTGTAATTTCATATTAATTTTCACAAATTGAAATTTTTATAAAGAAAGCGTGCATTTCAATCAAAAACAATTCACTTCACTGAGTGTTTTCACTCTGACGTTTTTGAGCCTCACACTGCGCTGTTATCTTATCGCCGGTGTATAATTATTCGTGCGCATTGTGAGCAATGCGTGATTGACAAATTAGTAAATTAGCATATATGCGGTATGTGTTGCAGCGGTTTTTATGTTTACAGTGTTGTTTGGGCTTTCAAAGTTTACGATTGCATATCTATAAACATATTGTGAAGAACTCAAAACAATGGTATAATAAAAATTCAGTCTAGCCTTCAATAAGTGATAAAAATCATCAGAGATAGAGAACATTCAGTTATCTATACACATGTGACAATAAATTTATCAACAATTGATAATTTTTTTAAATTTAAGTGATATTAAATGTTATATAAGTTAATTATGTAAAAATTGTTAGTTTTTCACTGTTTTGAGACACATAAAGTTGTACTTTAAACACGGGCGTGACTAAAGTACTTTAGTCACGGGGTATAGTCATGGAGTGGAGCTATAAGTATTTAATGCTCCAAATTATTGTGTAAAAGTTGTACTTTAAACACAGACGTGACTAAAGTACTTTAGTCACGAGTTTTAATCACGGGGTGGAGCAAAACGTATTTAATACCTCAAATTATTGAGTGAAAGTTGATTTATTATGATTTTTGCAACTTTTTTCATTAATTTAAAGTTGTACCTAATTTTTAAAAAAATTCTTAGATTATAATATGAATTCCCGAATGCAATTTCCCGGTTGCATCTCACCTAACACTTAACACGGAAATTATCCTTTCCTGAAACGAGGCCCGTTGCCGCCCTGGTGAGATGTATGCGCTAGCAGTGTACGCGGATATGAGATTTCATTAGCGCGACCGGCCCGCGCGGGAGACGTTAATTATTCAAAAGCATCTCTGAAAGACGCAGCATCCTCCCACCAATATATATGCCCTACCCGTTTCACCTGCACTTCGCGTGGTTTTCAGAGCTTACGGTAGGAGCGTCCGGTCGGCGTCGTATATTTAATGAAACCCGCAGCATTAACGACCTACCGACCGCCACGACCAGAGCCTATACACCACCTCTACCGCCGTCAGCATCCGGAACGGCGGTTTGGCGATAGTGACCCGAAATCATCGAAGCAAATATCCGCAAATAACCAAGCGCGAGGGTGCGCGCGGAATCTTGGTGGATCGTCGTGGAGGTATCACGGAGCGCGCAGCTTACGGAAATTTATTGGACCGGAAGAACGGAAACTATTACTTACCGCGCGCACGCTTTTGTTTGTCTAAGCGTCAGCGATTATTTACACTGCTTTCATAAAGTGTAGTATTTATGTTCGTGCTGAGACTGCTGAGGGCATCTTTTGTTTATTTAATATGCGAAGGTTTACTAAGATATCTGTTTTAAAACATATTTCTTGTATTAAGTTTATGAATATTTAAATTTAAATAATTTAAAGTTCATAATTCATTCGTTTTGAACAAGTTGTATTTATAAGTTACATAAGTGGTACTTTAAACACGGATGGTCAAAGCAGTGATTAAAGTACTTTAGTCACAGGTTTTAGTCACGGGGTGGAGCTTACGCCTGCGCATTTGAATACGGATCAAAAGTTCAAATTCAAAACTTCAACGTGGAAATAGAGTGAAAGTAGAAAAATAGCGGAAGTGTCACGTGGCTAAAGTTGTTAAACACTCGATTGATTAAACGCTCGCTAGGTTTGCTCTCAATAAATCTCGTGACTAAAACTATTATTATCAGAAAAAACTTACGTTAACGTTAACCCAGTTGCCAATATTCCAATTGATAACAAAAGTAAATAATGCACTTTAGAAAATATTTTCTCCATGCTTAATCACTGATTCAATGACAATGAAAAACCGACCACAAGCATCATGTTTTTATCAGGTTTCGAAAGACACAATAAACTGAAAATTGAATTACTTTGTAACAACCAAATGCTAACAGATTAAAAATACCTACTAACTAAACATAATAAATGTTTATAATGTGCAGACATTCGTAGTTACACGCACACATTTTACCAGTTGTCAATCAGTACGATATATCAGTGAAGAGATTTTTTAATTCTTAACAAATAGAAGATTAATTGAGTAACTGATTTATGAGAGGTAGAACTACGAGTAGGTTGAACGATCTTGTTATTGTGTTTGATTAAAGTAATAATGCACTGTTTAAACATATGGCATCCATGTTAGTAATAAACAATACAAATAAAGCGATAACTGCAAATTTAATGCACACAATAAATTTGCAACTTGAAAAACGTCATTTTGACTGTTGACATTTGTGAAATTGTCTATACTCTATAATATTAAATAACACGTCTAATTTTTAAATTTCGAATTCCAAATTTGTTTTTTTCTTTTTCCATCAATAAAACGCCAGTTTTTCTACGGTTTTGAGGCTCAAAAAGTGGCATTTTAGTAGTTAAAGTACTTTAGTCACTGATTTTAGCCACGAGAGAAGTTTGCGCCTGCGCATTTGCCTACGGTGCAGCACAAGACCATATGAAATGCCATGCACCGTGAGTAAAAGAAATCAAATTTTAACTAAACTCGTGAAATTATTAGAAACCTCTTTTAAAATAATAAATATTAAAAATTCAATTTTTTCTTTTCCGAATAATTTAACGTTTCAAAGTAATCGCAGCATCTAAAACCATTACATAAAATGTGTACCACCGCACTTGACACGCTCATGTGAAATAAAATGATTTGTGGGATGAGATCGAAAAACTTTCGACGGTCGCCCGCATTAAATCGCATTTCCCCACCGCGGTGTATGTAAAGTAGAGACGGCTGCGACTTTTTCAGCGTTTCCCTGCGTCTCGTAGCACGATGCGTGCGTAACGCAGGCTGTTACACCGCGAGCGGATTTAATTTCGTACTTGTGAGGAAAAACTCTATTAATTATCTGCGTTTCGCATCGGTTTTCTTAACCGCCAGCATGGTATCCAGTATACTTTGCTCAGATTTCCGTAAGAAAATCGCGCCTTGTGTCAGGCAAGTATTATACTAAAAACAACAGCAAAAAACGATCAAAAGTCTAATACACAATTTAATATTAAAAGTTAAAAGTTAAAAGTGGTGGGTTTTTCATATACGCTTACATCTAAAAATCTTGTTTTATTAGAATATCGAAAACTTGATATAGGCAACATTACTATCAAACAGGAACTTTACATAACCTAAAAATATACGTCATCAAAAACTTACTGTATATAAAAAATAATAAAACTTGCTAATGTTTCTATGATTTGGTTTATATTCAGAGGAAATATAGTAATTAATTCCTAATATGGCATAAGATTATTGAATTGTAAGCTCAGTCAAACATGCATGAAGTGGGTTATGGATGACACACCATACTAAGAACAGCAAGCGTGTTATTAGACTAATTGCAATTAATTTAATGGTTGCCCGCGGTCCCCGATGGCATTATCTTGTAATTTGCTAGAGTGGAGAGTGCGCGGCGGCGGCGAGCACATGCGTGCTGATGTCTTCCGCTCGAGTGCGTTTTGCTGTCGCCTCGATTTGCGGTTTTGTGGTTTAACCAACTCTATTATGGTCATCATAATCAACATATTTATTATTATAAAAACTATTCTGTGGTTAATATCTATTGGTAAACAGCTGAATATTCAATTAATACTCAAAGTAAAAGTGAGGTTATGTTGATTTATTATAGGCAACCAATATTTCTAACTTACACAATTGCATATAATAATATATTAAGTATCAAGGAGCTAAAGAGGAGTTTTTGTCACTAGATTGAATAAGAGTGAGCATAACGAGCGACCCTGTGACTAAAAGCCGTGACTAAAGTACTTTAATCACGACCGTGTATAAAAACACTTATTATGTCTCAAAACCGTAAAAATTAGCCTTTAACAATAAAACTAAACAAAATTATTTATTATTACGTTAATTAAAAGTAAAATCATTTAATTTTGAAAAAAGTAAAAATTGAAAATTGATTTAAGACCCCTCGGCGAATGATCTCATTTCCGATGTGTATATCTCCTTGAAACTTGCGCCCGAGGGTGTTGATATCATAATCCCAATGATCGCAAGTTTGAGTTTGAGATACCAGTTGCGATGGTGATGGCAAACCACCATCACCATCGGCCGGATCGAAGTTGAGGGCGTGAGAGTTGGCACTTTTGCCGACACAGCGCACAAGGGATATACGCAAAGGTGTCGGCTGAATTCTCTCAGGCGCCTGACTGATACGCGACTTCAGCCTTCATCTTACATAACGTGCGCCCCATATTCTAAGTGATGTAAAACGCCCCGAGCGACAGAAATAGATATTACTCGAGCATTCCTATTTCGGCGTATATTCCGATATTGCTGTGTAAGACAAAATAATATATTCTTTTGCGTGTCAAAATGGTCTCAACCCAAAAGATACTATGAGAGTATGAGATCTTTTGGGCTTTGCAGGAGAAATGTAAAAAGCGCGTGTGCATTCGTGGAAATTGATAATTTTCCTTCAATTTCCATCCCTTCGTGGCGTGCGGGTCTTTGCGCTGACATTGAAGACGGTGTGCGCTAAAGCCACAAAGGCTGCGGCGTGAGAAAAACGCGCTTTGAGACGTCAATTTTCATTTGGGTCTATTGAACACCAGCGAATTGATGCTGGAAACGTATTGAGACGCAACAGATTGTAAAATGATTGCTGCGATGAAAGGGACATGTCAACGAAACTGATTTTTACAATGAGAAGAATGAAGAATGGAAGAAAATGAAAGAAATTTAAATTGAGTTAGAAATTTCGACACTATATAATTATCTGCCGGCAATTGTTTCATTTGCCTCTTCAAAGTTCAATGATTTCACATTTAATTGTTTTGTTGGGTGTGTAAATGGCTATGCAACCAAAACAACAAAACTATTAACGAATATTATGAGCAAATGAACAATTTACTGGTGCGCCATCTATGAGTCAGTTTCAAAAGGTCAACCAAATGTCAAATGCCAAGTGTCAAACACTGGAAACAATAAATAAACAAATATTTCTTTAAATTTCGTATGTTTTTTTATGAAAAACAAAAATTCAAACTGATTTCTCCGAAATCTGCAACACCCTGTATTCTGTATTATATTCTGTATATTCTATACATTCGCTAGTTATCTTGTGAAGTCAGGCAAGGAAAATTGGGATTTCTATTAGGCTTCATCAGCTCCATCCTCCTTTGGCTGACTCACTTTGCAGTTTGCTGTAAGATTATCACAAAATGTACACACACACACCTTTTTCGGTCGCCATGACAACACCGCCGCCTGTGTGTACGAAAGAAATTGAAGAAGGCAAGCCGGATATGCACTTAAAAACTACTTCCAACCCGGTTTTTAAATAATGGCTTTCACCCAGCGAGCATTCATTGTGTCTGCAGCTCGAAATATTCTGCAATTTTCATGCCTGCGACATATCACACTACAAAACTGCAACGGTTGCACATAAAAAGCGCGAAAAGAAAAAAACGTTGTAGGAAAACAGTGTCGGGTCGAGCGTGCGAGCATACACGAGTGGCAGACTGAACTTTCCCAGACACCGACCAACACACAAAAGTAGAACAGGAAGAGTGAAGAGCGAAGAAGGAAAAAGCGTGATTTTTTTTGCGAGTGAATTTTTGCGTTTGTGTTAGTTTCTTCCCTCACTTTTAGCGCAGTCATCCGGCACGTGCTCATTTTCTATGTGCGTGTCGACGGTTGAAAGCTCCTCGCGTTTACACATGCGCCTGGAACAACTAAGCCCAGATTTGCGATTTTCTAGATGCAGGAAATGATTGAACGCGAAACTCCAGCATCCAAGATTCGCACATCGATTGTAAACAAACCAAATGTTGCATAAAGTCTCACATAAACATAAAATAAGGTTAGAATTCATAAAACGCCATTTTGAAAAATTAATTTGCTCTAAATAAACGTTTTACGTCATTATGAAGCATTGTTCATTCCGACAGATGTTTGATAATGCGCGTTCGTGGCTGCCTTATTAAAACGAATTCCAGAAAAGCGAGGGCGAAGTTTAAGCGTGCATTTTGTTTCTCTGCAGCTTCACCACCTCGCAGCCATGTAACTGACAAACTCAAAGGTAGCCAAGTTTTCCAATTAATTATTTTCCGTCGCGCTTGCGAAATCACCGCCGACTTGATTGAAGGAATGAGAAGAAAAATGTGTTGCACGCTTATAAGCGGCACATCAAGACGTGCAATTAATTTTAATTAATTAAAATTCCCGTTTTCATGCCAAAGGACGCATTTAAATCGGCGCGAAATAATGAAGCATGCGTTCAACTTGACAAAATTAATATTTTGATTGATTTATTTTTTATCCGAAGTTAAAGTAATGCAATTTTCAGCGTAAATCAAGGGTTAAGTTTAGATTGTATGTTGGGGATGGTCATCCATCTTGAGTGATTGATTGCTTTCGCGTCGAAAAGTGCCTAGCTTGCATATTTGAGCAGATTGGGTTGCCTACATGCAGAGATTTTGTAATTTTTGACAAAATTTGCAATTTAATTACTTACTGTAATCTGCATCATTAAAAAGACTCACCAATTATACTTGCTGCAAGCGTAAATAAGTAATTATAATTAAAATTAAAATTAAAATACCAAATTTCTTTAATTTTCTTTCTGTGTTTTCTGTGTTGTTGCTAATTGTGCGAGGAAATAAAAAAGAGTGGAACATTGCTGTTTGTCATAGCATGCTGGTTTGTTTTCTTCGTGCTGTCGTCGTGTTTGGAGAGCTTGGTCGTCGGTAATTAGTCTCTGCCTTCGGGGCACACGTCGCGCGCGTTGATTCGATAGCCAATTAACTCCGGACGTTCTTCGCCCTCGTACGTCACCGTGAACGTCACCTTCGTCGGCGTGTTCTTCTTCAGAAGGTAGTCGCGATTTGTGATGAGGAAATTCTTCGCATCGTCGTCAGTGGTACGGACTTCTTTAATTTCACCCTGGAAATCAATAAAGGCTCACATTATGTCAAGAAAAACAATTAAACTATAATAAAAAGGATTTTCCATGTGTTTAAGGTTATGTCATAACCAAAATTACACATAAATTTAAAAATTGTTTTAAATTGATTCATGTATTCATTTTTTACTTTGATCTGAGAGAAAATACTAAAATTTCATATAAATACGCATTCGCAAGTTCCTCCCGTGACTAAAACCCGTGACTAAAGTACTTTAGTCACAACTTTAGACATCCATGATTAAAATACCACTTTTTGTGTCTCAAAACCGTAAAAACTTGCGATAAAAGTAAAAAATAAATATTTTAACTGATATTTTAAAATCTCCAACACTCAGTATACCACAGTATGCCGTGAGACTATGCATACGGTTTTCATCCCCTTGACATCTCTCTACGTTGCGGTTCTATTAACATAATAACCCAAACGTGTTGGCGCGCTCGTGCCGGCGCTGGGAAAGTGGATGCGCCGCGGAAAAATTCATTAGCAAGGCAAATGCCGCCGTTCAGAGATGCAACAACGCTGCTCGTTTCACCACACACCACGACCGCAGCAAGTGCGCGCACACGCCGCCGCCAAAAAACGTTTGTTTGACTATCTACAATGATAGTCACACTGGCAACGCGTTTGTGTAATTTATAATTTGTAAAAGTTGCGCTCACGTTCTGCCAGCATTCTGAAATTTGAAGTCTTAAGCTCAAGGCGGTGGAATTCATATCAAAATATTTGCATGGTAATATTATGAGAAGGCGAGAGTGCTTGCATCTACCAAAAATATGTATATATTTGAATTTAGAGTGAAAATATTAAAGTTAAATAAAATAAATTCAAGAAAATTTCGAAACTTATAAAATTACTTTTTATGCAAATCTGTTTTTTATTATTCTTATACGAGTATGTAATTTTATTTACTAAAAAAATGTATTCAATCGTTTTCAATCGTCTGGAGTTGACTGTGACAAGGACACTCGCGATTTATTTTATTCCTTTTATGACGCCCCGCTATTTTATCGCTGGTTACAATCCCCACTCTCTATTTTTCTTCCTTACACTTCTATGCCTCGTTCACCGTGCGCCGCTTTTTCAACTTTTTATTTTTTATTTATCAACTCGAAAAGGGGCGGTTGGCATGCATCCAAACGCGACATACCATTAAATTTCCAGATAGAGTGTGCGACGATAGTAAAAGGAAAATTGTGTCAAATAATACGCATGTGACTATTCGAATAGTCGGCGAAAATAAACCGAATTCAATAAAGAAAGCCCGCAGAAAAGAAAAGCTCATGATTTATGCGTTGCTACATTTAATGCAATTCGGAAAACAATGAACCGAAAGATTTTATGTCCTCTGATGATACAATGTAGGTTTAACATGGTAAATGTAGTAATAAAGTGATTTTTATGATTTCAGGTGAAATCACGTTGAAACTTTGAGGTTAAACGACTTTTAACGACATTTTGAAGATTTCTTTTCGTACACTTGCTACTTATCAACCTCTTTGGATTCAGTTACAGTCAGAGTTAATCGACAAAGTTTTCCCTAGACGACGGTGAACCACGTAGCCCTCATCAAACCCTCAGAACCTTGTACAAATCCATGAAATACACCAAATCAAAGCCGATTTAAATTATTATCAGCGTGTCCTGGCAACAACAACAATTCAAAGCTTTGCCAGTGCTAGCTTTGTGGTCCCTGTTACCAGATCGGTAATTAATTGACAATCAATTAAGAAATCCTTTTGATGACTCGATGGACTGGGTTTCCGGTTCCTAGTTTTGGGTGCGTTCAATTTATCTTATTTAAATAGGCTGAAATATTCAATTTATTCAAATTTAACCTAAAATTAATGTTGCTAGTGTCCCGCAGATGGCGCTGCAATATAAACTAAGTGAGGTTAGTTTTTTGCTTGTTTTTGAGCGGTTTTTATCGATAATATTATTCACATCCCATTCATCTTTTGTAAGGATGAATGAGCTGGCTCAAGAGCGCTTGACACCGAATAATTTTATAACTAAGTGATGAGAAAGTGTCAAGAGGGTGGCGTGAATCGTAAACCTGTTGCGCAATACACAAAATGACTAATTATTGCACTTATTCTTCTTTATCCAACTGAATCACTCAGAAAACATTAAAAAATAAATACAAAATAAAAATATATATGATCATGTTGATGGTTACTGATGTATGATCTTTAAGGTTAAGTTGGGGATCCGGGTGACGCCCGTATGCATGCATATTCAAGCTTGCCGCCAACCGAAAATGCTAAACCCGCTAAACGTAGAACCTGCCGGTCCTAAACCATAAACATGTGCTCGTCGTATATCTCCCTCGGGGAAACTTACAAGAGAAAGCCGAAATCGTAAAGTTGAAGAACGATGGACGCCATTAAACCAACCTGGACCTGGGTGGTTGGCCAACAGCAAGAAAAGCGGAAACACGTTTTGATGCTCGCATTAATAACTTACAAGTTTTGCATATTCAGAGTCAACGTGCAGTGTTTTGATGTTTTTGCTTGTGCACAGAGGTCAAAAATCAAATATTTATAAATATGTTAAATATAAAATTAAACATTGCTTTTTGATTAAAATTAAGATAATTTTATAATAAATAATCTGTAGCATTGTGTGTTTTATCATTATCATCAAATATCTGAGTGGCTTTTTGGAAATGCAACAAAGTGAAGTGAAAAGTTAAAAGTTTTATATTGTCGTTGAAAAATTGCAGCGAGTAAGTGCACATCAAGGAGAAAAGATAAGCACCACAGCACACGAAAGTAAGCATAAGCGAATAAGCGAAAACCCAAGTCTGAAAAGGCTCAACACCGCCAGTAACATTCTAAAGTTGCAAAAGTTTTCGCTCGACGCAATGTTGATTGCAATAAATGTGAAAAGTTTCGCTCCGAGTTTCCGTGCACTGCTTTTCCAAACCATTTTCCAAACACCCGACTGGATAACTCTACCACCGCATTTTACCATGAGCGATGTATTCACATGCCCAACTTGACAATCCACATCAAAATCTTATTCTTCATTTCGTTTGTTATAAGCCTGTATTATGAATTTCTATTACATTTTCGACAACTTTCAGCTTTTCTTCTACAATATCTTAAATTTAATTTAATTTAATTTAATTTAATTGATGGATATGTTGTATGAGCTGAGTGTGACTTTTAGTGTTTAACATCATTTAAGGAACTTAACGATCGGAGAGTTTCAATTAAACTTTCGTTTATTAGCCGACCACTTAGCGCAAACTTTACCGCAAAGTTAACGGAAAGCCATTAGGGTTTAGTGTTTTCTAATTTGTGGTTTCACTAAACTAATTTCTGCTGTGCACTGTGCATTGTCATGCAGTTCAATTTAAACGCGTTTGTTGTTGAAATATTTAACATTCCAAATATGACTAGGTGCGCATCGACAAAGTTTCAAACTCTATTGGTTGATTAATTGCCTACGTGATCACCGCAGATCAATCAAAATTTGTAATTGGGTTCCTGTCACACGTGTTTAAATTTATACCTTGCAATTTTGTATGATAAAACTTTTTTTCTACTTTTACCTTTAAAACGCTTATTTTTCATGTTTTTAGACAACAAAAAGTGGTACTTTAACCACAGCCGTGACTAAAATACTTTAATCACAGTTTTAGTCACGGGGTGGAGCTGGCGTCTGTGCAAGTGACCAAAATTCCCATTTTGCCACCTAATACATAATATACTATTTTCCTAGTGTGAAATAAATGAAACTCTGAATGTATTTGTTTCGTTACATCGTAATATAGTGATACAAAGGCAATTCTCCCATTGTCATCACAATAAAGCACCAATAAAGGCAGTAAAACAATGGGAACGCGAGAGAAACCAGGAACATTTCTAATAATCGAACCATCAAATGTCATTCAATGCGGAGGGAATGACGGTTGTTAAGTTGCTATTATGAATACTGAATAGCGAATAGTGAATAGCAAAAGTTTCCAACAAAAATGCAATAATCTCAGCGGAATCTATTTGCGCTCGCACCGGGTGATATTAATGTAAAAATCGATAGCGAGCATGAATTTTTATCACGTCGACTTTTACATCCTACGATTTAACGGGTTGTATATTTATGCAAAATTTTGTTTTATTCCTTGATTTATAAAATACTAGCTTTTGCCCGTGACTTCATCCCGGTAGTGTTTAATAAAAATGTAATTCGTATTTACTCTCTTGTTTTAGACATAATATGTGTCAATTCTATCAATAAGATTCGCAATTTTATTTTAAAGAAATTAATTATATAAAGAATTGCTAATAATGCACTTCAGCGCGCCATCTCGGATTCAACTATTTAACTATAACTATGATTGAATCTCAATGCCAACTTTTATCGTATAGAAAAGGGCTGTTTTTATGGGTTTCCTGGCAATTATTCGAATTTTTCTCGCCGTAAAAACAATCCTTGGACTTTAACAATCATTTTAAAAAAAGAATTGGCGAAATTGGTTGGGGCGTTGTTGAGTTATGCGCTTACCAACAGATTTTGCGATACATTTTATATTATAGATAAAATGCAAAAATCAAGAAACAATCGAATTTGCACAAGAAAACAAACATCCGTATCAACACAACGGACGTAATCGTACGATGGCAAATGATGATAAATAAATAATCAAAGAAATGTTGTTTTAGGATCGGATAAATTTTGTGTGTACATACCACAGGCTCAAGTTTCTTCACAGCACGATCGAAGAATACGCGCAGCCAAAGGCCGTGCAGAGAGTATTCAGAGTCAAGAGTGAGGGTTCCGGTCCACTGTCCTTCTTTGGACTCTACATAGTCAAATTTACCCGGGCAGGGACTCTTTGGGTCTTCTGCGATGGCCACAGCCAGGATCAACGAGCACAGGAGCAAATAACGCAACATATCTAAAAATAAAATAAAATAAATTAAGAAAAAGAAATAAAGTAAAACAATTTCAGAATTCATAATGGATTTCAATATATTGCTCCATATTTCTTGGAAGCGTTAATAGTGCTTAAAGTAGTAAAATGTTAAAGTGATAAATGAGCACGCGAACACTTAAAGTTTGGTTTTAATAATGTTTTAATGGAGAATTTGACAGGCCAATAAAGAACGTGGTCGTCAATCCACAATTCTACGCTTAGAAAGCTTTTTACGAGTAGGAAACTACTTGAAAGTTATATAAAATAGAATTCTATCTAATATACAAAGAATTAATTCTATTTCTTGCTAATTTTAATGTTTTAACGAAATTTTATTTAAAAAAAAACACCCCGTGACTAAAACCCGTGACTAATGTACTTTAGTCACGGCTTTGGCCGTCCGTGTTTAAAATACTAATTTTTGTGTCTAAAAACCATGAAAAACAGTTTTGAGGTTAATTTGAACTAAACTGGTTCTACTTATGCGGCATATGCTTATCCTCTACATAACCTAACCTAACCTAAAAAAAGAAACCAGTTGCCGCTTGATGCTGGCTGCAATTTGCAATTTTATCGGAGTTTACGGCGGCCAGGTACAAAATATTACGGTCGTCTGATGGTTTTACAGCTTTTTCATGTAGAATGCATAGGACCCGCCAACCACGAACCCCTTCTGCCATCATAGAAGCTTATCCAGTACGGTTTACATCCATTACGGTTTTACTATTTCCTCCGCCTGCTAGTATGAGGTTTTCGTTCGTTCGTTCGTCATTAGTGTGTAAGTCTCTCTCATGTTCTGAAATTATATACCTCTCTACCTTTGATCGTCGCGTATTTTTTAGTAATGCAAAAGCTAAAGCGATTTTACAAAATTGTACTACTCACACAACCCTGGGCCGAAAAGCGGCGAACGTATTATTACGCTGGATTTATGTGCAATTTAGCTAAAAGCTTTTTTCTAATTTAAAACAAAGTCCCACGTAACAAGCGCGTAACATACCAACCATGTTAAGACAACAATGAGTTTGGTTAGGTTTTGTAATTTTGCAGACGAGTAAAAAACATTGTGTAGTCTATGGCAGAGCGTTTATCTTCGCTCATTAATTCGAAATTGTTTTATTGTCCGGGACCCAAGATCGCAATTAATCGCAATTGGGAGTTAAATTATTCAGGTATGTTTATAAATAATTGTCTGTGAATAATTTATAGCCGCATTATACTGGCTGGTTCAGAAGAAACCGGTATAATATTATTGATTATCTGGTTAATCAACAAAAGAAGAACATGAAATACGCGTGATTATTGCGCGGATATTATTTTGATTAATGGCGTTTTATTCATTCGAAGATTGCCATGGAGCGCTCGAACGCATTACTCAAACAAACGACTCGCGCCGCGACGCGCAGCCGGCCATTGCAAACGAACGAGCAAATTAAAATGCCAGCGACGCCGACTAATAATTACAATGTTTTGCGCGCACAATGCGCGCCGCGTCTTGTATCCTCTTGTTTTCTATACCTATGTATATTGTGAGCGTATCGCGTCGCGGCGTAATGGCGGTGCTTAATTTAAAACTAATTTGTGTTGCATACCCATTACGGCGAACCGGCAAACATAACCAACATCAATATAAATTGTACATTTTATGAAATCAGATAACGGCTACCGTTATTTCTCAATTATAACCGGACTGAAATTACCATCCCAACATAAATTTATTGTTAGTTTTGCATAAAATATTATAATAAATAAATAAACAGTTTTTATTATTTTTAAATTAACAAATGATCGTATATAAATATTTAACTAAAATTGATTTTTCAACGTTGGTTTAAATTCAGTCGGTTTATTGAAGTCGTATAACATTTAATAACTTCTTCGCTTTGTGCTCGCTTGCCGAATGGTCGACATGAAATAATGAAAGCGCAATGCGACGTAGATTTCAGTCTGAAGTCGGAACTTTAGGAAACAGTCGACAAGAAACGTTTGCTCAAACTACTGTTGTCTTTAAACTGCCGGCTTATGAGATTCATGTATGCACGAAATCAGTGTACATGCAGACATGGCGTATTTCTATGGAATTACACGATAATAAAACGACGAGTTGGTTCGGTTTGCAATCAAAAAATAACCTTGCTGAAGCGTGCAGAAGATAAAGTTTACAATAGCGAACATGTATATTAAGTTGCCTATCTCTGCCAACAATAGTTGAATGTAATTTCATTGAAATAAATCTAATATTTACTAAAACTGTTAATAAAACATGTTTTTGATGTACATTTGTATTTTATAACACTTTTTAGACTTCATTAATTATTATTAATAATAAAATAATTTGATATACGAGTATTAGCAGCGTATTTGTTTACTTTAAGATAAAATGCATTGAAATTATTTAAAAATGACAGAAAAATGATTAAATTTCTTGTACTTACTGCAGGTTTGTGATTGTAAAAGTTGTTTAACACAATAACGAACTAAACACCTCGACGATCGAGTGTAAACTTGTCACCCGAGTGCGATCCACGCCGGTATTTATAAAAATTTCGCATTGTGGTAATCTTGATGGTTTAAACCGCTTGGGATTCAGGTTTAAAGACACCACAGCAACTCAAGGTTTACCCCCCTCCGTGAACACTTCTTGGAATCATTGTAAACATTGCAGTCGAGCGTGAAAATAATATAAAGAAACAACAACTCAAACTTGTTTCACAGATTTCATCAATAATTTTATGTACTTATGCGTAATTATTTTAATGATCATAACATGATGCGCATGATAAAGAAACGTCTTGAGTATACTTAATAGTTTATTTACCTTAACATGTTTTACGAGTATTATTTAAATGTTTATTTATAAGTATTAAGCAAAACATTTAAATATAAATGTAAATTGATGTTTTTTTTTAATATTTTAATATAGGAAAAGTAATTTCCGTCTGAAATTTATCGGAATCGGATTCTTACGCCGTCAGAGTCGATAAATTTAATTTCTTCCTGACCAGGCATTTCCGGCGCATGTCGAACATCATGATTTTTCTCGATTTATCTAAACGTTTCTTGCTTTTAATTTATTTTTTCTACTTGCACTTTTAAAACGCAGTTTTCCACGGTTTTTAGATACAAAAGTGGTATTTTAGTCACGGGTGGCCAAAGCTGTGACTAAAGTACTTTAGTCACGGGCTTTAGTCACAGAAGTTAAAATACAAAAACCTCAACGTGAAAATACGTAGCTTTACGTAATTAAACGTTGTTAAACACTCGATTGATTAAACACTCGCTCTATTTACTATTACACGTAATTTTATCAACCACTTTGTTGATATAATTGTTTCCACATTAAACACACTTGTGATTCGTGATTTTCAAACATTTTACATTTTCATGGTGCAAATTTTTGTTTGTTGTTTGTGGATTGCTGTAAAATTTCCATATTCACGCCCGTTCATGGTTTATGCCTGAATGTAGCACAGCGATAAATTTTTTTCTACGATTTGTGATCCCGTCCGATGTTTATTTTGTCTCCGGAACTATAAATACAATGTGTTTAAATTTAAAACAAAGTCAAATGCTATCCCAATCACACACAACGCACAAACGTGAGGCAGATAATAAATGTTCATAAAATGAAACCCTGATTTGATTTACACTCCAACGGTTCTGCGTTAATTCTGCAGAAGTGTGCGCGCATCGGCGCAGCGGCGATTAAAATTTATTTCAGTGCTCGTAACCGTAACCCCACGTCGAAACGGCGCCATTTGTCCCGTGACGTCGTCAGCCAGGAGTGCCATTTGCGTTCCGGCGGTCTATCAAAGAAAGACATAAACGTAAATATTCTATTTTCCAAGATTTAACGCCGTAAAACGCTGTAAACTGCGCGTCTTTTGTTTATTTCTTAACATAGACAACCAACTGCACACTACTTTACATATTAACAAAGCCATGCTGTATAATAAATGGTTGCATATATTCAACATTTATTTCAGAGGCTGAAAGTGCGGTTTACCAAAGTAGCCCGGCTGTTTTCGCTGAATTAAGAGGTAATCAATGGTAACTAGAGAGATTTATGGTGGATTTATTGTGCGGCCGCAACAATGAGAACACAAGCTTCGTGCGATAGCGACCGTAGGCTTTGCGTAGCGTTTGCGTTCCAGGAATACATTTAATAAATTAACCCAGTGAGGGAAAAACGAAGAGATTTGTTGCTAGACTTACAGATTAAATCTTTTACAATGCACTAAACAGTTACAATCAGTTACAATAGTTAATACTACTGGAGATTAACTAAATCCAAAAGATTTATTTCTGTAAACTTTGTAAAATTCTAAAATATAGAATTATTTGCGATTCATTAACAATCAGTATACTCGTATAACCTTGATTAATATTAATTAGTATTCATTAGTTTTAATTTGCAGTCGTATTATGGTATTCTTCCATTCACCCTCGTCGCCGCCACCAATTAATTCCCCCGTGCGTCCCGACGTTCCAAACCGTCAGCAGGGTAAAAAAGAGGAAAAAAACGTTGGGAAAATGCGTCGTCTCTTGTTGTACGCCCTTTCATCAATCTATCGAGTACGGAACGATGAATTGCTCCGCCCTGGCGCTCATGGCTTTCATTTCGAAAATAAATATTTACGTCCTTTTTGGTTTAATCAAAAATTTCATATTTTTCCAGCAAACATGAACACTAGACATTATTTAATCAATACAATTTAATCAAACGTAAATTATTCTTGAATTTTAGTTTGAAATTTATTTATGGTGCAAATCATGATGAAAAATGCCATGAAATAATCGGGAACTTTTTGAATTTATTGCAAACTACGTTCTGCCGATAAATTTATTCCTTCTGAGCGCAACGTATAAAAATCGACGTTTTCCGGAATTTACGCTTTGCATTCAAATAAAATTTCAAATTTAAATCCGAAGGAATATTTACGACGTATATGTGAGTTTAAAGATATAAAATAGTGACATCATTATATAACTAACCCCCACTTTCATCTACCCCTATAAGCTAAACCAAAATCCTTACCTAGATCAATTTCCAAGCGTCTTCCCACTCATACGCGCGTATAATTATAAATTAAGCGTCTGCTTGATCCGCTTGTTCAAATCCTTTATCCTTTAATAACTTAAATAAACGTATGAACACGTTCGTATGCAAGCCCGGTTATCTCCGCGCGCTTAATTGCTTGTGAAAGCACCTTCCAGGCGCGCATTTTCCGCATTCACAAGCGACCCTCATGCGCGCGCAAAATATACAAAGACGACGCTAATTATATGACACTCAAACGATGAGCAATCCAAGATTAAAACTAAAGTCATTTAGGAAAACCCCAAAAAACAACAAAGAGTTTATTTTCATCAAAATACTTCGAGTATATTAAGTATCAAGTGGGTAATCAAAGTTTTTGTAACGAGATTGATTAAGAGCGACTGTAGCGAGCGTTTAATAAATCGAGTGTTTAACAAGGTTTAGCCACGGTTGTATAAGCTATTATTTCTTCACCTATAGGCAATTGCGCCGGAATTAGCTTCACCCCGTGACTAAAACCCGTGATTAAAGTACTTTAGCCACGGCTTTGGCTTTACATGTTAAAAAAAACACTTTCTGTGTCTCAAAACTGTGAAAAAACATCGAATGGAAAGTTTTAAAACACAAAAAATTATTTTTTTTACTTCTGTCAGTTTTTTCACGGTTTTGAGACACAAAAAAGAGTTGTTTTTAACATGAACAGAAAAGACCATAGCTAAAGTATTTTAAAACTTTCCATTCGATGTTTATATTTATTAATACTCATGCTAATGCATATTAAACTTAATGAAAACACAAAATACCCAACATTTCAATTAACAAAACCCAAAACACAAAATAAACAAAATCAATTAAATTAGAATTAGTTTGAACACACACACATCTACCTGAGTCAATATCCAACGTGTATTTACGTGATAATTAATGAATCAGTTGGCCATCGTCGACGGACTCGTCCATTAATGACCAGATAGAGCCATCGTCATCGATAATAATTAATTGAACGCGCAAACTAGTTTCCAAAGCGGCCCGCTTGGGTTTTGCCCATATCTCATAGGCTAGCTTAAGTTGAGGTTAGGTTACACACGCCTATTATGTGCAATAATGCAGCTGATGCATAAATGCTAATGAAAATGCAAATTTCGTAAGTCCATCGCAGCGTGTAGCGCAAAACTTGGAGCGAAGTTGAGTTAAGCAGAGTTTGGTTGAGTTTTGTCTTAAGTTGTTCCAATCAGTTGAAGCGTTAGACGCCAATTTAATTAACGATGAATTACAGTGTATGAAGTTGCGCCGCGGGCGCCGGGGATTTCCTGTTCAATTAACGGCGCATTTATTTAAATTATTATTATGCGGTAATCTGTTCGCTAACATGTTGATGCGCAATGTGAAGGTGTTTATTTACTAGCAAGAAATTATTGGGAATTTTATATATGAGTTCATGTTCAAGGTTAACCAGAAACTAGTTTTATTTTTCCACGTATTGCTTACTACTTGATAAATATTAAAATCGATTAAAAGCAAATAAATTAAATTTTTTTGGTTTTTAATGAATTTTGGAGTGTTTATCTTAGAAACTAGATTTTAAGCTCCACTGAAAAGATTTCCGGCGAAATTTTTGTGATTTATGCACGGGCAAGCGCTGAGTTTGGCCGGATTTGATTAATCCGTTAATCCCCAGCCCTAATACCGCATGAAATATTAATGTTGAGCAAACCTAATTATAATGGGATGTTATTTCTGGATCATCCGCTTATCGCGGCGACGTTCGCCACTTTTCGCCCGCAATCTGACGGCCACTGACGTTTTTCTTATTTTTTACATTTGCAATTTTCGCCTTGAGCTCCGCAAAAGATTGAAAAATACATTTTTAACTCGCTTGGATAAACATTGAAGATAATATGCATTTGTAAATAATTAATTGGTTTAATCAAGAGTCGACACTGAAAAAAATCTGAATTAAAAAAGGGTTAGGCTTAAATGTTTATTTTTATACTGATTTTTTTCTGTTAGGAACAAACCTTTGTTATTTTCATTCCAATTTAAGCGTTTGCGTAGGTGGCATGTGCGCCGCTTATATTAAATAATCGTACCGGCGATGGTGCTCGGTTGTCGGCGGTATTAGCGGAGTGTTTTTTTCGCCACCGACACCGGAAACAAACGTTGGGCATAAAATGGCCGCGCGCCACGCTACCTGCCACCGGGCGGCAATTGAACGCGCCGAAAACAGCAGCGAAATGCCATCGGGGACACACAAATGTTGCTTCTCACGTGCCGCATGCCTCGAAACGATTCCCGCGTTTGCACAATGCTCACTGCAGCGCCAGTGGTGGCGACCGGAGTTAATTTCATAGAATTGCGTCATAAATTTAATAAAGGACCGCTTGGAGTGTGTTTTAGAATTTGCTGCGTTTCGGGATTTTTTCCCTGGACCCGAACACAACCAAAATTAAACAAAAACTAAAAACTTTATTTTTATTTTTATACTAACGACATCTATCGGTGTAAAATAAACCTTTAAAAAGAAAACTATTTTAATCCAATGTTTATTATTATG